TTCATAAGTCTGACTCACAGACCAAAAGGCCTGGGTGTTTGTGACTCGAAAGTCCCAAAAGACCTGGTACTCTGGCTCATTGCTATTTTTGTTCATTAACTTAATTAAACCTCCCAGATAGATTGCTGCTTAGTTTCTTTATATGTGTAAAAATAAAAAATTTAAGTTCCTATTATTCTATTCCTCACTTCTGTCCCTCAAACTTTGGAGGTGGTGTGAATTACAGATACCTCTGATAAGTTTTGCTAAATAAAGGGAACCCAGAAAAGTAGTAGTTTTTACAAAATCAAGATTCAGTCAGATTTGCAGATACTAACTGCTATACATAAAACAGACAAACAACAAGTTCATACTGTATAGCACAGGGAACTATAGTCAATATCTTACAGTAACCTATAATGAAAAAGAATATGAAAACGAATATATGTATGTGTATGTATGACTGAACTATTATGCCATACACTAGAAATTGATGCAACATTGTAAACGGACTATACTTTAATAAAATAGTTAATTAATTTAGAAAGATTCAATCAGTAAGTTCAACTATAAGAAATGACTAATCTTAAACTCTTGTATGTACAATAATCGCAATTTCATTTGGCTTAGCTTAACGTATACTGACAGCTCCTTTTGGTGTGTTTCACTTGCCTGGTGTCAGCTAGCTTTGTAGATCTCACTCCCTTTTTGCCCATGATGTATGAAAAAAATAAAAGTTGTATTTCCACAATTTTTGAAAGATTAATATAAACATCTATCTTTCTAAAATGAAAAAAAAATTGGTGCATATAGGAATGTTTAGTAAAAGTTACACCATTCCTTCTCATGTGCAATTTACTTCAGAAAGAATACCCTTTTCTGTAATTCATCTGGCTCAGCTGCATAAAATAATCTTTCTAAAGCATGGAATATACAATCAGCTCAATGACTTTCCCAAGCTTAAGTGTATCTATAAAGTCTGAACTCAGTATTCCATGCTCTCCAGAGATCTTTCCGACCCCGTCTGCTGTTAATCACCGCAATGTGTTCACCATTCTAGGCAGTGTGGTTCCCTTTCAAGTCCCAAAACATGACTTGTTTACTTCTGGCCTTTTACTTTTAATTCATTCTGTTGATCCCACTTCTTCTGGCTTCTTCATTGTCTAAGCTGTATCTTTAATTCAGATTCCAAATCAAGATTCATTCCTTTCCAGGAGAATGGGAAAATTCAGCCCCTAGTGCTATGTACAGCAGCCATCGTAATTGACTTATACTCTGCTTGTGTGATACAGGAAAATGGGGTACGAGAGGATGGCCATGTCCCAGGTCTCAGGCGAGTCCCTGATGCACCCCGCCGAGTGAGGGCCATTGGCTTCATGCAGGAAAGCATTCAAGAGTGAGCCATAATTGAGTGAAAGTAGATTTATTCAGAGAGATGCCCACTCCGTAGACAGAGTGCAAGTTGTCTCCAAAGGTGACAGAGAGTGACCATGAGTTGTGGGTTTGTAACTTCATATGCTAACAAATGAGAGGTTTATTACAACTATTTGGGGGAAGGAGCTGGGATTACTAGGAATTGGGTCATTACCCACTTTTTAACCTTTTATGGTCAACCTTGAAACTGTCATGGCACCTGTGGGTGTGTCATTTACCATGCTAATATATTACAATGAGCATATAATGAAGCTCAAACTCTACTGGAAGTCAAATCTCCTGCCATCTTGGGCCTCAGAATTGAATTTTGGGGCCTGGGAGTTGAATTTTTCGCCACCTTGGTGCTAGTGCTGTGTCATTCCTGTAATAGTTGTGCCCTTCCCTCTTCCCTCCTGTCTCGTATGTACATGTCTTATCATCTTGGTAAGGCTTCTAACTTCTTTGATGTATCATTGTAGACCTAGCTCTGAGCTATCTAGGCAGTAAACACTTTGATGACTAAGGCACGCATGCTATTTTAGTTGACTGTTCCAGTTTTCATTCCTCCTCATCTGGTGATGGTTGGAATGAACAGTGGCCCAAAGTGGTTGAGATGTGCTCCAATGAAGTTCAATGATATCAGTGCTTCATGTTGAAGCAAGGCTGCAACCCAACAGCCTTGGGTTGCAAGGCTGGACAGTGCTCCATGTGACAGCCACATCCCTATTTTTGTCTCTCAATTCTCCTTCTTTTTCACCAGTGGGACCTGAGTTTTGCTAAATGGCTGGTCCTTTCAAGTGCAGCCATGGTAAGAGATGCCCTTTCCCAGGGCAGGATGATACATTGATCCAAGGGAGGGTATGTGCTGCCACCAATGCTTTAAAAAATCCTTTTGTTGTCTTAGCTTTTGGACCCTGGGAAAATAAAAATAAAAAATGCAAACAAAAAGCAAAGAGACAAAATATTTTTGTATTTTCTTAAAAAGTATTTATTTGTGGCTGATGTTCTAGGCCACATTGCTCTTTAAGATTATAAACCACATTCACAACAGTTTGCACTATCATCTTCCTTTGGAATTTTACCAGATTTGTTAAATAAAACTTGCCCACATTTAGGTTGCTTTAGCTAAAGTCTTACTTCTTCCTGGCTTTAATTAGATGCTATCCTTTAAGATTTAATACAGGTTTATTTAATTGAAATATAATTTAATCAAATAATGAGATGGGTTTGGCTGGAGTATTCAAACAACATACTCAATTATTTTTATTCATTTTTATTATTGTGTCTTAAAATATTTAGTGATAATACTTGCCCTCACATTTCAACATCTTCAGATATTTCTGAAACTGCTGGATATGCAATAAAGCTGCTGGATACCGCTCTTCTCATTTGATATATTTTTTATTCTTTCATGACATATAAGATCATAAATAATATATCCATGATATATGTGAGAGGAAGTTGTAAGGCTGGTACTTAAAGATGTCACGTTGTCTAAGTATCTTTATCTTATTAAATATTCAGAAAAACAAATAGGCAAAAACTATACTTCTTTAAATCTTATTATGTCTGTATGAGGTTATAATTTGATAACTGCTTTGGTTTTCCCAGAAGTAGATTTTGTGAAACTCCCGGAATTAAAAAAATATGAGAGGGTTTCCAAGGATTCATTTTTTTTTTTCAAATTTCCTTTTATCCATCGATGGCTGCAGGGCAGTATCTTCTGCTCTGCATACCTTTTAATCTTGAAGTTTAGAGAACTGTTGTCTTTTTTTTCTTTCTTGTCTATTTTTTTCTAAGTCCTGCTCTTCACAAGGAAGCCAGAAGTGTGACAGGAAGGTGTGATTTTTAATTTACACCAGAGTCTCGCAAATAATGACTTTTCACACCCTGCTATTGCTGCTTAGCCTAGGGGAGGAGTTCTGGCTACTGTTGTGGCAAATTAAATCCACTGCTGTAATTCAGAAGGACGTTCTTCTATATTTAACCCTTGTTTCCAATTTTGCAACTTGGTATATGTGAGTACTTATGAGAATGAGGCTTATTACTTTGAAGTGCTCTTGTTTTCTAGGAAATGATTTTTGAAGACTGTTATCTTTTCAGATTGTCAAGAATGAAAGGTAAATGTGTTCTCTCCACCATCCAACTGTGATGTTGAAAACTGTAACATTCAAATACACAAAAATGAAAAATACAATATAATATTCATTTTGAGAACTTCTAGCAATAAAACTTAAACAGATGATCTAACAGCTGTTTTTATCTTTCTTTGTGATTCCATTTCTCTAAAAATAGCTTTCCCTCTGTCTTAATAGAAGAGTTAGTATCTTACTGCACAAGTAAATCTCTATCATTTCATCTGAAAGATGAAATTGAAAGTAATGTTAGCCACTATATATAAAAATAGATTAAAAAACCAAATTTCTTCTGTACAGAACAGGGAGCTGTATTCAATATCTTGTAATAACCTTTAATAAAAAAGAATATGAAAACGAATATATGTATATATATGCATGATTGGGACATTGTGCTGTACACCAGAAATTGACACGTTGTATGCAATTGACTGTACTTGAATTTTTTAAAAAATAGATGCAACTAAAAAAAAGTAATGTTAAAAAGATTAAACTGTTAAAGCTTTTTTCAGTTTCTCCTCAGTCCATAAAAGTAATTTGGATTGAATTATTAAGGAAAAAACAGAGAATGTGCTGCCTAAGGGAAATAAGAAAAATTATTGTAATTGGCTTGCTTGTTTTAAGTTTTCCAAGTGGTTACAGAAGAATAGTGCCATGCAGATATAACTGAAGAGCTAAAGAATATACCTTGTCAACTTCTTATGCACTTCTTTCACTTACAATTATTAATATATTGAATTATTTTCCCATTTTGAATCTGCCAACTAATTTTTTCTTTAAGTTTTCAATTAACCTGCTAGTGTGTCCTAGCTATTTTACCAATCATAATGGTGTTCAATAAAGTTCTAGAACTGAATGGAATATGTAAGAATATCATTGAAAGGAAGGAAAGAAACATTCAGATTCTCCTGAGAATTTGGCTCTTACTTCCTCCTCTTGCTGAAGCAAAGCAATCTCTCCTCCCTGGGGAGCAGCAAGGGGTTAACCAGTCTTGGTTTACTAAGTATCTCTGTCAGGCTTTTATCTGATTCTTCCTCCCTTGCCCACCCCTTTTGTAAATGTCAACCATTTCCTGATGAGCCTAGTAGTGGTGAATTTCACACCTTTCTTTTCTTTGTGAAGAAACCTGGGTGTTAATGGTACAGGATTGGGTACCATTGTACGTCTCTAGCTGTCTGTTAGTAAAGCTGAGGGATGCCTGTAGAAAAAAAGTAGGAGAAGGTGAAGAAATTTGAGAAATGAGACTAGGAAATAGGTTCAAATTGATCTCATTTTTAAAAAGAGTGTTTTATTAGCAAATTTTAGATGTGTGTTCAGAAAAGAATAATTTTAAAGAAGCTTAGAATTAAGAGTCTAAAAGAGTCTGGCAGAGGAAGGGCTGAGATTAGAGAACAGATTGGTAAAAACAAATGAATAAATGAAAGAGCAACAATCAGAAAGAAAAACTGAAGACTCTCTCTTTTTATTCTACAGGTGTACCTACAGGATACAGCAATGGAAACCTGGTCAGTTGAGCAGGTCTGCAATTGGTTGGTGGAGAAAAACTTAGGAGAGCTAGTTCATAGGTTTCAAGGTGAGTTGTTTACACTTTCAAAAATGTTAATTGAGCAGCCTAAATACTGAATGTCCTCTGTTACTGATTTTTTTTCCTAATGCATGTGAACATTGATGTGGAGTTGCTGTGGGGAACTTTCATTTCTCTACTGACTGTAGTAGGAGAGTTTGCATTTGACCTGATATCCACAAGAGAATCTGATATTTCAAAAACAACTCAAATAAAATAAATCTTGAGTTACTTAAAATACATATTTGATATATGAATTTGATACTGCTTTTGTCCATAAGTATGCACTGTGTGCATTGTTTGTGCAGCCTTGTGCAGTGTTGGATTTACACGTAGTGAATATTGCCTGGGAGGTACCATTAAGAATACTTTTCCAAAAAGATTTCTTTTTCCTTACAAAAGCAATGTCTGTTAAAAAGAATCAGAAGAGGGGAGGCGTTGATGTGGAAAGAAAATGTTTTTATTATGACTCCATGTTCTGGTACTTTCTTAGGGGCAGACATGGATTTGGAATTATGCAATCTTAGTGTTCTATTTTTGTCAAAAACACAGATAATTTTATAACTGCAGAGCACAACTTTAGATACTCCTTCTAACATCAGAAATAATTTTGCCTGCTCAGAGCGTTGTATCTGACAGTCCTTTACCTGGCAGGCATGTAGAGACATTCTTTTTCTTCTTTTTCCCAGAGGAAGAAGTCAGTGGGGCTGCTCTTCTAGCGCTTAATGATCGAATGGTTCAGCAACTAGTAAAGAAAATTGGGCACCAGGCTGTTCTAATGGATTTAATTAAAAAATATAAGCAGAAGAGTCAAGAACTGAAGTCCCCGGGAAGCCCTCAAGAAGCAGCCCAGGTCCTGCAAATGGAAGCAGCCCCAGAGTAAGTCTGTGCGTGAATGGCCTTATTTTTGATGCTGTGCTTTCCCGATGATGGCTGTAGCATGACCTTTAGGGTTTAAACCTCTTTGAAAATTGTTACTGTTTTCAGCTAGATCGTGTGTACAGTATCTCTGATACCGGTATAAAAGACACTCTTTGCAAAGTTTTGTAAGTCAAGATACATTTTTCTTTAATGCAGCAGTTTTTAAACACTAACTCCAGTTGTTAGGGAAGACCTATGAGCCCAGAGTCCCTATATAGAAAGCTCTGTCACAAGCAGTTAAAATGCACGTACGACACATGTGGAAGTGGACTTCTGCAGCTTAGGTCTTAACATTAGGATTCGAGAAAAGCATCTTTTTCTGCTCTCCTGCTTTCCCTGAAGCTATTTATGTGTGTATTTATTTATTTGCCAAGGATTCCTTATTGTAACTAATTTATATTCTCCTCTAGAGGCCTTCATAATATAATTTGCTAAAGACTTGCTGCAATGGAGTTTCTCATTTTTCACAGTATTCTGACTGCTATCATAGCATCCTGCAAAATCACGTATAAAAATTTGTGGTGGCTCTGAGGTTTAGGGATGTTTTTATTGTTTCTTGATTTATTTTTAAGCTTTTATTTGGGGGGAGGGATGGTAATTAGGTTTGTTTGTTTGTTCTGCAATGGAGGTCCTGAGGATTGAGCCCAGCACCTTGTGCATGCTAAGCACACACTCTACCACTGGGCTATGCCCTCACCCTTTGTTTGTTTTTTAATCAAATAACAATAAACTGCAATCGCTGACTTCTGCAGTAAAAGGGAATGGTAACAGAAATTATAAAATCAAAATCTTCACAAATCTATCCCCCAGGATCATTTTAGGCATTCTGATTTGGTTTTTCCATATTTGAGACTTTTTGGAAGGTTTCTAAGGTTAAATAACTGCTGAAGACCAATTATTCATGAATTTTAAAAATAAGATTATGATGTTTGGTGAAATCCATTTTATGTTTTTACTTTAGTTTTTCTTTTCCAGATTATGTCTGTAAATATATATATATATATAATATATATAAATATATTATATATATATATATATATATTTTTTTTTTGTCTTGCTCTTTTAGAAGCAGCAGAGAGACCTGACTTAAGTAATCAGAGTCCTTGAATAGTTGGATGTTTGGGCCATGGGAGGGGATAGGCAGGCTTAAAGGAATGGTCCACGGCTGGTCTGGAGATTCCACCATCTGATTTATTTGAAGGATTTCCTCTAAACGTGGTTTGACATATCTATGTAAAAGCATACTCGTCAATATATGACTTTCGATGAAGTTCCCATTGCATGCTTTCACTCCTTTCCAGCAAAGGGAGGGTGGAAACCTCAAGCAGAGCTCGAAGTAATTTCCCAGCATTCTTGGACGAGTTGGACTCTTGAGCTGGAAGTTCCCCTCAGTTGCCTGGAATCTTGATACTGCCTTAGGCACAGCTTGGAAGAAAACAGACAGCCTTGTTTCCACTGCAAATCAGTTTATAATGTTCTCTAGTAAATGAGAACTAGCTGGACTGCCAGGAAATCTGGGCTTCATTCCTGGTTCTACCACTGACTTGGACTGATTATGGTAAATGTTGACACTCCTGTTGCTTCATCTGTAGGTTGTGAAAAGGAATACAGTACTTAACTCCATGTTTACTCATACGGATGTTAGAAGTAGCATTATCTTTGAGAAAATCTCTCCTCCTTCACTCAGACCAAAGTAGTCTTTTGTTAAGTAATCAGCTTTGTTAACCTGGTTAAGAAAGCCCTTTTCAAGGAGCCAAGCCTCCGAACACCGGTCTTCTAGGGATTGATGAGTGAAGGCATTTCACTCAAGCCAGTAACTAGTTGACTCTAAGGATTGTTTTGTTTTGCATTCAGATTAAATTATTCTGGTGCAAAACCACAATTGCTGGTGGGTTTATTGTTTATATATGGTTGAAATGTTTATTGGCTGTATTTGCTTATTGTCAATGTATTGTCACTTGACAAATATATTGTCACGTGGGAATCATGATAATGGAAAAAGGCATGAGGAAATATTATTTATTTAACATGCTATCTAATTAAATTCTTTTAGGAAGGACTTAATAAAGATAGGAAACTCGGTGTAGTAAAAAGAACCCTGAAGCTAGGTATCAAAACACTTGATTTCCAATCACTGTTCAGATATTAGCTACTCATCTAACCCTGAAGGTTTGCTTGACTTTTCTTAGTTTCAACTGTAAAATGAAGTGGGTAGAATAAATGATGCTTAAGACTCCTTCTAAAGAGTTTATAAAACAGCAGGCTAGATCAGAGATTGCAGATGGATTTCAACTTGAGTTCAAATTTCATTTAATGCCTGATGATTGCCTGGTATGTTATTTTGAAAAAAAAATTTACAGGCCACTTCTAGACAGGATATTTTGCATCCTACTCCAACTTAGGCAAATGATAGGAATATGTAACAGGAGTATTTGCCGTTGCTTTTTGGTGGTGTTCTTGTGGAATCTGGTAGCAGAATCACTGGACAGGAAGTTGGAAAACTAAGGTCAGCTGGTGCTGCTACTGAGTAGCTTGTGGTGGTGAGCAAGTTGCTTTCCTTTCTGGGCACCACTCAGAAAATGCAGGAGTTAGTGGAGTGTGATTCTAAGATCATGAAATTTCACAGAAAATAAAGATCTCCCCAAATGGCAGGGAACAGAGAAGGGGTCTGACAGAGTTCACCGTTTTCTTTGTTTTTTGTTTTTTTTTGGCCAAATAAGAATATTAACCAATAAAGGTACATTCTACTATCACCATTATTTCATAAAGCAAACAGTTATCATACCGCCATTTATAAATATGACAGATTGGTGGAAACAGCACTGTGGACTAGCATCATCTGCCTCCTGGCATGGATACCCTGATACTGAGAGATGGCCCCCAAGGGTTCTCCTTTCAGTTCTCTTAGTCATGACTCTGAAGTGGAGCTTGGAAACGGACACAGATCACGGAGTTGACGATGGGCTGACCCCCACCTTCAGAGCCACTGTGACAGCAATGGTTGTGGCTCCTGTCAAACAGCCCCTGACCCACCTTTTCTTTCTTGGTGACAGGGATGACCAGTCCTCCAGTCCAGCCAGTCGTGGGGAGCAGGTGCCATCTTCCCATCCAGCTGAAAACCTTGATCATGGACTAATTGACCAAAGAGTCCTGAAACAGAGGTGGGATTGACAACATCTCGACCTTTTAAGGCTAAATCATAATATTTACCATTATTTTTATGAGGTTTCATGTACTTACATGTATTTCTAAGTGGAAGCTATTTGCTTTTCTGGAAAGGATTTTTGTATCAAGTGATGAAGGCTACTTGGTAAAAGACAAAGGTTAAGTTTTCTGATCTTTGCATTGGAAAAGTGAAGTCTGAGATGATATTATGCATTTTTCAAGTACACGTTGTTAAGGAAAAAAGATTTCTCTATCATAAACTGTCCACAGGGACAGAATTTATTCTGTGAATAACGTCCTATAGAATATGACTTCCATGGAGTCCTTGTTTTTGTTTGGTAGTTGTTGTCTTGGCCTGGCTGTTCCTGATGGAGACACTGCTTTGGTAAACATTTCCTTATATTCCTACACCGGGTTTTGTGAGGTATAGTATTTCATTGTACAGGCTGCATTGGAAGAGAGGAAACCTATAGACCTAGAGAACCAGACGCAGGAAGGGGACGCCCAGGCCAGGTCCTGAGGGGGACTGTAGGTGAGACATGGTACAGGAGTCCTGGCCGCCCAGCCGGCATATCCCAGCCACCCGGCCTTGTGATACATGTTGTTTCCAGCAGCTGATGAGCAAATGCTTTTTGTTACACGTACTGTCATTGAAAGGAGAGAGGTCAGCTGGTATAGAAGCGTAACTAGGCAATAGTCAGGCCAGGGCGTGGTCCTTTATAGTTTTCACAAATCCTTAAATTATTGTCTCATTTTGTCCACACAGTAGTCCTGCAAGGTGGGCATTCTTGTCTCTTTTAAAAAAATACATTTTTTTATTGAGGTCCAGTCAGTTTATAATGTTGTGTTAGTCTCTGGTGTACAGCATAGCGATTCAGTTACACACATACATTTTTTTTTCAGATTCCTTTTCATAATAAGTTACTACAAGATATTGAATATGTTCCCTGGGATATACAGTAGGACCTTGTTGTTTATCTGTTTATATATACGTTCTCTCTTTTTTGTGAATGAGTGAAACCGAGTTTAGAGAAGTCAGGGAGCTTCTAGCTAGGTTTTCTGTTCGGGCCCTTCTCACCTGAGCACGGGCTTTACCGCTGTCAGGGTGGGAGTCCAGGGGACCAAAGGCAGCAGCCCCGCCCCCGGCCACCGGGCCCCAGCCGCCCTTTGAGCACAGGGAACACTGCACCTTCGATCAGGAGCTCCTACAAAACAGGTCAGCTCTGGGCATCCTCTCTGTTCTCTTTCTCTCTCTACCACCTTCAGCCTCACAGTCTCAGCCCTGGGCTCAAAGCTCCTCAGGGCCTCCCAGTCTGAGGGTCTGTCTTCCTCCTTGGCTCTGGCTCCCATCTGGGGTGGCGAACAGGACGGTGGGAGGCGAGGTCCTAGGTGAGACTTGGTCCCCGTGGTCTTCCTGGTCTGTGGTTCAGGAGATGTAAAGACATTTCAGTGGTGGCATCATTCATCTCCTTTCTGCTCCTGGGTGCTGGTTGGTTCCAAGTGCTGTCCTTCAGTGTGGTTCCAGGTGTGTGAAGTCAGCCATGAGGTCTCAGTGACCGCATCATGAAGCTGCCACAAGCAGCCAGTCCCTCCTCTGACTGTTCAGGTGTGAGTACAGACAGGAAGAGCGACGACTCTCCCAGGAGTCCAACCCTAATACCGCTGTGAATCAGTTTCCAACTCTGCAAAATGGGAATAATAACCACAATGCTTTCCTCATGGTGCTCTTGTGAGGACCACCATCTAAAAATAAATAACACCTGCTCAGTGCTGAGCACAGTGGAAGCACCGGAGAGCACTCAGTGTACCTGTCTACACAGCACTGCTCCAGGTGGTAATCCCCTCTCCTGAGGGCTTCTTTCCTCTCTCTACTTACTGCCGGTGCGAGAGGAGGGTGCCACCTCTGTAGGTTCTATGGGCCTTTTCTCTTTCCTAAGCCCTCTGCTGACAGTCCATTCTCATATGGTCCTGCGATCCTGGCCAGGCAGGATTATCATGCCCATTTTTTCCCGTGGCTGGTCAAAGGCACAGCCTGTGCTTCATGGTATTTCTCATTTTTATAGTGTCTGGCAAGGGGGAGAAAAAAACAGAACTGGATTAGAAATGGAGAGAAATAAGAGGGTTTGGAAACCAGGGCCAATACCCCCATATCTTCCTTCTAATCATAAAGTCTCTCCTAGTCTATATGACCCCTGCCGCCCATCTCTATCCACAAGCATGTCAGAGTTAAACATGTCCAAAAATCAACTCATGTCCCTTGCCTTAGTATATATTTGGCTGTAAGAAATACGAATCCATACTAACTTAAAACAAGGGGAGTCTATTGTAGGAAAAGCATTTCACAGCATGCAAGGGCAAACATGTAAAGTCCCCTGGGCACAGAGGAGCTGGTGCTGGAAAGCCAGGGGTGAAGCCGTCCCCCTCGCTGGTGGAGCCAGGCGAGGGCCACCTCTGCCTCTGCTCTGCTTCCTGCATCTGCCTCGGTCCCTTGCTTCTCCCTCTGAGGACGGGTTTATCCTCCTACTCCTGGCTGCTCTGCCCGGTTCAGACTGGCTGGCCTACGAGTGCCTTGCCCCAGCACTGCCTCCAGGGGGCGTTCTCCCTGGAAACAGCTCAGGGCGTCCCAGCCAATGGATTCAGTCTTTCGGTGTTGCTTAGTCCAGGATCTGGGGAAGAGAAACTGAGGGGTCTAGCGTGGGTCAGGTGTCGCCCTCCTAGGCAACCAGCTGTGTAGGGGCAGATAAGGACAAGGCAGGGCTACCTGTTGTAGATACTTTTGCTCTGATCCTGCCCTTTACCTGGGGCTGTGGATTGGGGTGGGACAGATTCTCTCCCTTCCCACATCCCTTTTCATCCAGCCATGTGAGAAATGTGTATTTAGGTCTTCTGTCCATTTGTTGATTCGGTTGTTTGTTTGTTTGTTTCTTTTTTGTTATTGAGTTGTATGGGCTGTTTATACATTCTGGAAATTAAGCCCTTGTCAGTTACATCATTTGCAAATATTTTCTCCCATTCTATAGGTTGTCTTTTTGTTTTGTTTATAGTTTCCTTTGCTGTTAAATACACTATCTTTCAAAACAGAGTTAAACTCCAGGAGTTTATAAGCCATGCACAAACAACAGGCTAGGAAGCAGATGATTGGCTACAAGGCTTTCATGAAGCCAACTGCTTTCATGAGGCAGGGAAGGGTGGTGGACCACGTGCCAACTTTGAGGTCTCACACACCTGTCTGGGAATCTTGACTCTTCCATTCCTCACCAGGTGGTCTCAACACAATGTGAGATGGGAACACCCACCCGCATGTGTAGTCTCTGAGGTCCAAATGAGTTAACAATTAAAGTATCTAAAGCTGTTATCACACCATATAAGGTGCCCGGCATTATTCTTGTGATCTTTTTTCCTATGTTCCCTAAAAGGAACATGTTTTTTCCATCCAGATTATTTGCAGACAAGAAGTAAAGGAAGGCTCTAGAGACAGGACGTTCACCTGACTTTGGCTCTTGAAAATTCCTTAGTAGAAATGTGCGAATGCCAGTGGGTGAATTCCGTGTCCTAAGGAAACACTAGGGTGCTGTGACACAATGCAGTTTTCTTCGGTGATAGGTGATTTTGTGCTCTTTATCCAATTGCTTAAATGCCCTTTCATGATGAAAGGTTTATAAGGTCCCATCCTCAACATGCGAAATCTTTAGAAAGTTTGTTTATTTTTGCAATGCCAGTCTTAGTTTTTCATCTATGCTATTTGAAACTATTTGCTTCCCTTTTAGTATCTAAAAACGCATGAAATCAGATAAACGGGTAGAAGTTTCCTAAATGTTATTATAAAAGCACTTTGCTTGAACTTTAAATATATATGTGTAGTTGTTTTGCTTCAGCCTTTGGGGGTAATTATAAATTAGTCGTGGTTGCACACATATTTAAAAATTACTTTAACAATTTTTTTTCCTGAATCAGGTGCTGCTATAAAATGTTGTAGAATGATCTTACCCACCTGTCTAAGCTCAGTGGGGCAAATGTCAATGGGTCGACACCTGGTGTATTGTTTGTAGGCACTGTCACACACACAGCTCAAGTAAGGGGCAGCACAGTTGTGTGTGCATCTTCTCCAGCACGTAATAAAGGGAGGTTCAGTGAAGTGCACCAAAGACAGCACGAGTGGTAAATGATCACATTTAGATGCTGAATCCCAGGTCAGTGAAACAGCAAGGATCCCTCAGAGTGAAGTGCAGGATCCCACATCTCCTATCCCATGGGTGTATAGAACACCCATACCTAAGAGCTCTGTGTTTTGGAAGTGTTACACTCGAACTCTAGTCCTTGATTGGAGATTCCCAGTGTCCATGAACATAGTAAATGCTCTGAGGAGTCCTACAGTAAGAAAACCCATTTAACTCTGTTTGACCAAGAGTTCTTTTTTTTGTATAACGTCTATTAACATTACAGGAAACACCTGAAGAAATACTGACCTCTTATCGAAGCCAGGATTCATTCATTCCATAGTAAATATTTATGGAGTGCTTACTCTGTGCCAGGCTCTGGGGTAGGCACTGAGGAGACAGTAGTGAGCAGAGCAGACCAAGCCTCCCACTTCACAGAGTTCACATTCTAATGGTGAAGAGAATAATGAGTATATATGATATTACATTATATGTGTGTGTTTAAGTGCTATGAACACCAATACTGCAATGGAAAGGGGAGAATAGAGAATGAGTGGTGTGTGTATGTGCATGTGTGTGTTAGCCACAGGAGGGTTCTATTCAGATGGGGTTTTCAAGGAAGCCCTTCAACTGTGAACTAGGTGATGCTTGAGCAGTGGTCCAAATGAAATGAGGAACATTGGCTCATGAAGCTAGAACTGAAATTTCCTTCAGTACAGAAGATATCTGTGGACCCATCCAAACAGGAATTGCAAAATCAGGGAAAATTGGGCTTACATGACTGATAAATAATTTTCTGACTCCTGCCTATTCTCATTAAATCTAATATGGAATCTTTAGAGAGATGAAAGTAATCTTGATTTCTATTTTTCCTCTTTTGTTCAGTCCAAAAGTTACTGAATATACACCATGAGCTAGGGATGAAGTCAGGGGCAATTTAATCCTTGCCTAGGGGAACTCAGAGTCTAGTAGACAAGACATATAATTCTGAACTACAAAACAGTAGTACTGAACCATTCTGCAATAACAGAGTAGGTAATATATCATTACTTTTTCTTTTGTATGAGGAATGAGAAAGAAAAAGAGGGACTCAGACATGATAGCTCCATGAGATCTGTTTTTGTGGCTGTCATGCTAGTAAGTGTAAATATAGAGGGTAAAGGCTAGAAGTTTCTGGATCTTTGTGCATCCATCAATGCAAAGAATAACTAGGGAATGGGAAGAAATAAAAGATTTATTTATTTTATGCTTCTTTTTTTGATTAGTCAATGCCCCCCAAATCTTCTGGATCTTTGAATCTTGCCCTGGCAACCAAGGTCAGGGAGGATTTGAGAGGTGTCTGTCTGTCTGTGCCACAGCACAGTGCCTGATGCCAACCACCTCTCTACCCTACTTTATGCTTGATTATATGTTCACACATGCCTTTCAGAAGCTAAATTCCTTTGCAAGTCTCATAGATTAAATGGCAGATGTGATAGCCCAGAGCTATTAAACATAAATTAAAAGCAAACATCAAAATGCTGAGAATGTGGAGCAAACATTTTCTGAATTAGGGGTGGATACCATCAATTGAGCAGTAGAGCAGCATTTCCTTCATAGTCCACGCATGTTTTACAGCGACATTGTTCACTGTTTTCAGAGATGGCCTCTCCCCTTGTCATTGGCATGTATCTCTCTATTGGGCTTTTAAAACTTCTTGTTTACTTTGTTTTCTTAGCAGTGGAAAGTCTTGCCTAGGTAAAATAAAGCAGGTAAATCTCAGAGTACTGGCATAATAACATAGAGGCAACATTTCTGTTTCACTTTGTAGTTTGGTGAAATTTGGTCCCTATTTTGAAGATACATATTATAAGGTCCTTTTCTGTCCTATGGTAAGATGACAGCAAATTCTTTAAACTGAGCCTCCTGTAGCTTCCTTTCTCTTCCTCTATGTTCCAAGAACATTTAAGCGTTTAGATGTTGCTGTGGGTACATGCCATTTAGTTTCAGAGTTGATAATATAAAACTGGGCATCCCAATATATACCATTTTCAGTGTATGAAGTCATCTGCGAGTTTGTGTGTGGAAAAGAATCAAATAGAAGTAGGATCTCAAAACAGAGTGGCTTGTGGAACACAGTCTTTCAGTTCAGCCCCTGGGGATCACGGTGTTTGTCACTGCCGTTCCTTGCAGTGGTGGGGGCACTGCCACTGGTGGCATGTCATGTGTGAAGGGCCAAGCCCTGTGGTGGGACTGGCTGTTCTTCACTGCAAAGTGCTCCCCTTGCCCCTTGCTCTTCTTCTTTGAGGACCAGAAAGCAAAACCATTTTACAAGACTAGAAGAGCATCACAGTCCCTCGAGGTAGCAGATTATCTCCAAGCTGGGGGCCCTTAGAGAAGGGGAAACCTAGGGCATTGGGGTGAAACAGCTGCTGACACATGCATGGTGTGCTCTAGAGAATTAGTAGGCTTGAGTCTTGGACGGAGCTGAGCATTTGCATTGGATACTGGATGATAATAAATGGCACACAAACTGGACCACATTATGAACTGCCCTAATTATTAAGCTATATACACAGGAGATAAACTACTAGTCCCACCCTCATTTATGCCTCCTCTGCTCCCTGCCAAGGCTTAACTTCTGTCTTCTGTACACTGAGACTTTTTCCTTAGAGAGCTGGAGTTCAGCTGGATTTGTTCTGCACAGAGCCATCTTCCTTACTCTAGGTGAGCCCCAGATTGTCTGTTCTTTGGGAGCAAAAGAATTAAATGATTTTTCACTCTTACCATGGCTAGAAAAAGTTTTTAGAGTCCGTGAGCTTTTTCTGGAGAACCTCCATCTCGTAATTTTTTTTTAATTAGCACATACTGCAGTAACGATACTGTTAATTATCAAATGTGTCAGCTTAACTTTATTGTACGTTTTATTTTACTACAAGTATAAACTGAGTGCTTACTGTAGTAGACTCTGATTCAATTAGACTGGGATCATTAACACGTTTTAAAAGTTTTCCAGATGATTGGACTGTGAACCCAGGACTGAGGTCCACTGGCCTAAAGATCTCTTGTTTTGTGGTGGCTATCTTGTTGAAGAGCACTGGCTATCAGATTGGAACAGAAATATTAGCATCCTCTTAGTTTAGGATTGCTTTCTGCTCCCTGCACTTAGTTTGGGCTGACTTCCAGGGTGTTCTGCCCAACTCTACCTCCATAAAGATGTGAGGAATCTTAACCTCACAGTAAAGATTTTTAAAATCCAATGCAAATATCATTTTGTAGTGGATAGTGGTTGTGCCTGCAGTCATCTGCACCCAAATTAGAATATATTTTAAATTTCTGATGAGTCCCTTTTCTTGTTGTAATGCTAGTTTTGACTTGTATTAGTTAGCATAACTTGTATTTTATTCACTTCCAGAGTATCTTGTTAAATTGCTTAAATGTAAAGGAAAGGAAAATTTGATGCCTCTGATTTTGTCTGATGATTCTGTTAGGAGCAGGACGGAATATCTGGCTTGGATAGAGCCTGCATGTGACTTGATACATTCTAGGCATTTGACAGAAATAATACTGTGCTATATAGTCCCTCCCCCAGTGTGGAAAAGAAAAGACATATAGGAAAAAATACAGAGAACAAGAAGGTAAAAATTGTCTCAAGCCCTATTTTACAGCATTGGAGTATTGAAGTTATCCATTGATGCTGTACTAAATAAAGACATGGCAACCTCAGAAGTTGAAAGGGGGTCATGCAGTTTAATTTAGCTGCTTGAAACTCCAGGGGAAAAGGAAATAGATGTTAAGATGTTGTACTGAAACCAAGTTTAACACCTGCACAGTTACAGCACCTTTAAAAAGAAATCCTGGAAAGGCACAAAATACAGAGAACAAAACTTGCCGTTACTTTACACGCTTGGTCTGAGTAGATAAGGGAGCGATCATGGGAGAAAGAAATAGGAAAATGGAAAAGCAAAAGACACAGGGATTGTAGGAGAGTAATTGCCACAAAGTACACCCCCAGTAAATACTGGCTGAATGAATGAATGAAATGAGAGGAGAACATACTGGAAAATAGCCTGGGCTGCAGCACAGATTTCTCCTGGAAATTGCCTGTTGCTGTATTGAATCACCTGTTAAATGATCAGTGTACTTATTTTAGCTAGGGCATATTTTCACCACGGATCCAGCTATTGCCAAAGAGGGAGAAAAGGAAAAAGAGCTTATCATGAAAAGAGAGGGGAGGGAGTTCTTTCGCATCTTGTTTTTATTCCCTGTGTTTCATTATACCTCTTGCTGTCTTACAAAATGTGACCTAAAATTCTAAAGGAAGCCTGGCCTTTCAAAGCGCGTCTGAATTTTGTCTGGACTTCTACGGATTCCATGCTTGTACCAGAAAATTAACCTGCTTGGGCTCATATAGGAAATCTCTGTGTCTTTGTCTTCTGCTTGGCTTGACTCTTTTACTTCACTTCCATTCCAGTCATCCTATTAGGGAAGCAGATTGAAAGCTCTCTATTGCCTCTGGTTAACTTGCTTGGAAATTTTACTTTTTACACACTTGATCAGTCACTAACTGTAAGGTTTCAAAGTGATTCTGATACTTAATTTTATAAACAGTCTTATTGAGGTTTAATGTTCATGACATAAAATTCACCCATTTCAAGTATACAGCTCAGTTAATTTTAGCAAATTTATGTGGGTATGCAACCACTGTCACAATCCATTTTGGAATGCTTTCATCACCTTAAAAAACTGTTTGGTGTCCTTTTTTTTTAAGGCACTCTCCACTCCCATCCCCAGCCCCAGGCAACCACTGATCTGCTTTCTGTAGCTGTCATTTTCTGTAGCCTTCTGCAGTAATTTCACCCGAATGGATCAGAGTATCTGATACTCATATTTAATTTAGAAACTAAATTTATTAAAATAGTCAAAGACCAACTAAATTAAGTGGCTCTTGTATTTCACTGCGAACAGCAGCCGAATAAATTAATTAGAAGAATTTTCTTAATCAGATGCTAACTTTTTTATTTGTGTCATTGGCTTTGCTGAATTGCAACTGACTCTCTTTTAGTTAGATATCTTGTTCAGTTTTGAGCTATGCATTACATATTACGTCTTCAAGATATACGGATCAATATTCTTTCCAACTTCAGACTTTATTCTATAGTCTATATTTGTGATGACATTTTCCCCAGAAGGACAAGTATTTATGGGGAAGGAAACAAAGATGCCTACGGAGACTTCAAATATTTGCAGGTAGATGATTGGATGGAAGATGGATTGATGACTTTGACATAATTTGATCTCAGGAAAGTGGTTTATATCGTAAGTTTTCATAAGTTGCACATATCTGAAACAGAATTTCACTCTTTGTGTGTTTATATTTAACAGAAGGAATGTGAAGCATGTCCTAGCAAGAAATAAAGCATTACAGTGGATGAAGTCCTATGTTTTACCAGAGTTTCCTTACGACATCAAATGCATGTTAGCAGAACAGAAGTGTCCTGATCACAGCATGAGGATAAGGATCATCGAGTTTCTCCAGGCTGACATGACTAAGTATCTGGAAGGCTCACTGTGAGTAATAACAGGGCAGACTCACTGCTTTGGGAGAGGGTGTGTTTTCAGAGTAGAGTTGAATTCATTGGGAACCAATTCTCTTCAGATTTTGGAGGACGTATTGGTAATTAGTCCAATTTTGCCCAATATTTGAATATCTACCTTGTCAGATAGAAAGAATTGAAGAGAAGTAAATGTAGTTTGGACTTATCAGAAAGAATGTGGGCTTCTGGGACTGAAAATCTCCTCCTCGTTGTGCTGAACAGGTACCCCACCACCCAGCAGTACAACGACGTGGTCAGCGCCCTGCTGCAGGCCCACCCCTTCCTGGACGAGGACGGCGGTGGCTTTGTAAGTGAGCACGTGGCGCCATTCTGCTACTCTCCACCCATCTTAATATAACAGCCTGTATTGTACAGTAATTGCGTGCCTCATTCCCCTTTCCTCAGTCCCTGTCTCTGTCTGTCTATCTGTTGCTCTTTCTCTGTCAGTTTCTCCGACTCTAGTCTCTCTCTGTTTCTGTTCCTTTGGCCGTCCCTTCAGTCTCTTGCTATAAATCTGTTTCACTTTTAGCTTTGGTCTTTCTCTCTCTCTCTCCCTCTGGCTCTGTTATTTTTCATTTGTTCGTTTCCTTTTTTGGTTTTGTTTTGATGATTTCTCTGTGTCTGTCTGTCTTCCTTTGTCTTCTTAAAAAAAAAAGAACTATTTTTTAAAACAGCCTTAGGTTCACAGCAAAAATTGAGTGGAAGGTACAGAGATTTCCCATATACCCGCTGCCCCCACACATGCAAGTGCCTGACATTGAACACTGCCCGCCAGAGTGGTACCTTTTTTACAATTGATGACCCTTCATTGACACATCCTTATCACCCAACGTCTATAGGTTACATGAAGGTTCACTCTTGGTGTTGGACATTCTATGTGTTTGGATAAATGTATTTATCATTATTGTAACATATATAGTATTTTTACTGCCCTAAAACTCCTCTGTGCTCCACATGTTCATCCCTCCCATCCTCCTCCTTTGTCTTCTTCCTCTCTCTGCCATCATCTTCCTATCTCTCAAAGCTGTTTGGCAGCTCACTTGTAATGATGAATCTCTAGGAAGGATCTTTAAAGAGATGCGATGAGCAGAAAGAGAAGGATGTGGCCACACCTGCATCCGTACTATCATCACTAGGCTAGGGTGGAGTGGTTGTCCGGGTTTGAGGTCTGGCCCTCCAGCCTCACCTCTCGGTTCTCGGCTGTTCTGACAAAAGCCAATCCTGAAGATGTTCTGGGATCGCAGTTCCCAATTCTGGCTGCACGTCTGGATCCCCAGAGACTCTAATTTAGTTGATTGGAAGACGGGACCCTGCCATTTTTTTAAGTCCCCCAGATGATTCTAATGTGCGGCCAGGGTGGAGAAACACCGCTCCAGAGGTTTTGGTACGTGCTTTGCTCTCCAGACCCACATGCCACTCAGCTTTAAAAGCCTGGAATCTTCACTGCCCAGTACTTAACACTCCTGACCTGTACTCTTAAAGATAGTCATGGTGGTTAAAAAAAATTGAATGTAATGTGATACTGGAACTATATGATTTAAAGGACAACTGGGAAGAATTACATCTTTGTGTACCTAAAGACGTACTGTCTATTAGTTCTCATATCTCTATATGCTGTGTACATCCACATTGGTAGTCGTATCTAAACAAGATAGATGTCTTTTGTACCTTATTGCAGATATTTGTGTGAAATTTTTTTTGCTGTGCTTTCTTGAAGACATAGAATTTAAGAATTAGTTCCAATTTGAATAACAAAAGATAAATGCTAATATCTGTGAATATAAAAACAATTTAAGGTCTCTGTTTTCCTTCTTTCTTCCCTCCCTCCCTCCCTTCCTCTTTCTTTCTTTTTCTCTCCTTTTCTTTCTTTCTTTCCCTCATCCCAAGAAAAGGTTCATTATATATGGATAGAATTATAGAATTTTCTGAGCAGGGTGGAGAGGGCCTTAAAGATTCTCTTTCACCACCCAGACTCAGGAAAGACATAATATCAGGAACCAGTAACCACTGAAGCTCAGACTAGTATTCAGGAGTACTTGCTTTTAGTGTGACATCCGTTCTAAAATATGCTGTTGCATATAAAAGCGCCCTTCAAAATAAACCCAATTTAGTCTTTAAAAAGCAAAAACAAAAAAACAAAAAAACCCCAAACAAACCAGGGGTCCTAATGCTGATAATCACCCCAACATGACTGACAGAAATTAGTTATAAGAATTCCTTCTACACTTGAGATATAATGTCTGCCAACAAATTCATGTTATGGTGTATAGAACTAGTTATATTTTAAAGGAACAATCTAAATTTTCTACTTCAATAAGTTATACATTCATGGGATTCAAATTCAAAAGCTAGAAAGATATAAATGGAAAAATCTTCCCTCCTCTACCCTCCAGTCACCCAATTTTCCTTCCCAGAAGTAACCAGTATTATTAAAGAGTCCTCCCAGAGAATCTTTATATATATATAAGCAAATACATATCTATCCAATTACATTTTGATCTTTACTTTCATGGTTATCAAAGTGAGACAAATAGAAAGTAATGAATAATGCTTACTTTAATCTTGTGTGCATTTTACCCACTTTTGTTTCCAGTCATCTTGACTAAACATGGTTAACTGATGAGACCTGCAAAACTGCTTAACACATTCTGGCCCAAGTTTGTACACATAGAGTGGAAGGGGAAACTCTGGTGCATGGTAGATGTTTACCCAAACTCTCTCTGCAAGTATGTTCAAGGTTGTATTTCTAATGTAACAGTGGAAGATGTAGAAAAGTTCTTAGAACATTAATGTGTGTGTCTGAAAGGGGGGGGGGGGAGAAAGAGCACAGACAAGGAAGCATTTGGCTTTAGGACTAATTTAATTCTCAAATTTTTTATTGAAGTATAGTTGATTTATAATATTGTGTTAGTTTCAGATGTACAACAAACTGATTCCATTTTATATATATATTTTTTCCAGATTATTTTCCATTATAGGTTACTATAAGATACTGATATTCTCTACTTTTTATTTCAAAAATTGTCAAATCTACACAGAAGTTGGAAGACTGTTACAGTGACCACGCTTTACCTAGATCCAGATTTCTCAGTCTGGGCAGTGTTTGCATTTCAGGTGGATAATTCTTTGTGGTGGGGGCTGTCCTCTGCATCGTGGAATATTTAGCACCATCCCTGGAACTCACAAGTTGTAACCCACCCAAACTGTTGTAACAATCAACCGTGTCTCCAAACTGCCAGATGTATCCTGAGGGGGGCAGTATCTCTGATGACTGAGAATCACTGATCTAGAGTCACTAGGGATGACCACTGCGCCACACTGACTTTTCCTCTCTCATATTCCTTTGTCTGTTTCGACTGAACATTTGATAAAAGGCATGTTGCAGGTGCCTTTCTTAAACACCTCAGCTTCTATCCTGTAAGGGTGAGAGCAATCTCCTATGTAACCACAGACCATTTTATACCTAAAAAATTAACAATAATTGCATATTATATACAAACCATATTCCTATTTCTTCAATTCTTCAAACAATATTTTAAAAATAGATTTTTTTGCTATAAAATCTAAGCAAGGATTATGTATTGCATGTAGTTATTATGTCTCTTTAATTTCTTTTTGTCTAGGACAGTCTCCCAGCCTTTTTAATTTTTTCCTAATGTTTATTTTTGGAATAAGTCTAGTCCAGTTGTCATGTAAGTTGGTCCACACTTTGGGTTTGTCTAAATGTTTCCTAATCATTGTACCTGGGTTTAACATGTCAGGCAAAGATCTGCTAGTGATGCCTTGGACTATTTGCATATCTGATCAGGAGGCCATGACTTCAGGGCTGTGTTTTATTTCAGAGTGACCAGGGGAGAGCAGTGTCCATGGAGCAGTTTGCATACCCCTCTAGCTGGAGAAGCATGGAGAAAGGGGATGACTGTTCAGTGACAGGAGGATTTGCTATTGCGGCATCTGCGTCAGGAACTCTCAGTGCCAGGCCTGTAGCAGACACTCAGGAAACACACATTGATTGAGTGCTCACGTGGACCATTTCATTGATTTGTCCTTTTTCTGTTCCCATCAGACACTTAGTAAGGAGAGAAGGGAGAGGCTGGGAAGAAGATATTGGCAAGTTTAAAATGTCCTAGTTGATTGCAATGATACCTCCTACCAGGTCAGCAGGTTTGGAAGCCCTTCAGAGCTGTGGGAAATATGAGGGAAAAAATGCATTTGTACTAGTTCATATTTCAGGGCTAAGAAAAATATAAGCCACCCATTACTTCTGTACTGTTGTAAAACAGTGATGGCAGCATCCAGACCCACAAGCCTACGTGAGGTAAGGAAGTGTCTCTGACCCATACACACCCGTGCGCTTAATTGTGGTGAAAGCCGTCACCCAGTCCCCAGCCAACAGCGCTTCTCGCCAGCGCTGTCCAGGGTTTATGAGCAGCACTTTACTGTACAAATATTTCCCATGAGTAGCTATCCATTTGAGCCTCCCAAAAACCCAGTGCAATTGGCAAGACTAATCTTAATGTTCCATTTTACAGTTGAAGAAACTAAGGCTGAGAGGTTGCTTGTTAAAGATTTCTTAGCTAATATATACTGGAGCTAATCCTAGATCCTGGGTCTTTCCAATTTAGGTCCCAGTGCTTTTTCAAAGGCAGAGAATATTCGTATTGAGACTTAAGCCAGGGAACCAGGAATGACAAAATCTAAGTGCCAGACACTGGACTAATGTGATTTCAGTGGCGTTTCCCATTTGCCTGAGCTCGTAAGATATGCCCAAAGTCACTCCGTGACTTAACCGTCTAGTAGCCAAGATGAGGGGGTAAATATGGACCCCATTAACTGCAAAGGGCCATTTCCTTCCCCACCCCTACTCTTGGGCCTATTGAAGCACATGGCATCGCAGGGAAGATGAGGGGCTGAGAAGCAGCCTTGAGGCCCAGGCTTTAAGAGACGTTGGGTGACTCCTCACACAGTGAGTTACTTATCAAGCAAGGCCAAGACTAGAGTCTTGCTTCTAGTCTGTTCCTTCAGCACCTGGGTCCCTCTACTTTGCAGAGGACTGGCATAAGCCATGCCGTGTTTATAGTTTCCAGGGTGCATCAAGCACTGGGCTGGGCTTGGTCAGCAAAACAGGCTTGGGCTGTCCCCATGTGCTTATAGCCTAGAGGATGGAAGGCGAAGGAGGAAGCAAGGGGAAAACTGAAGAGAAGAAAAACGAAAAGAACAAAAAAGAAAAGAAACAAAACGAGAAAACTATCCCATAGATGAGGGTAAACTACCAGTGTGGTAAGTGTTGACAAGGAAAGGGAGGAGCTGATAACCAAGGAAACTGAGCTGTTAGTGAGGCCATGAGGGAGTGATGGCCAAGCTGAGATCTGAAGGGAGAGTAAGAGTTACCTACATGCCAGCAGGGTTGGGGAGAAGAAGGACAGAGCTTTCCAGTCCAAAACCAAAGGCCCAGCGGAGGGAAGGAATGTTAGGAACGTTGGCAAGTTGAGAAAGAACCCCAAGTGTGTCCCCAAGCTCTTGTCCACCTCTCTGGTCTTCCAAACTATCCACATGCCCGACAGATTCTTCCAGAGCTCAGATCTGACCATCTAGGCTTCCCATTCAGCATAGCCTAGGAGGGCTTCCTAACCCGGATCTGCAACCGAGTTATCTATAAAACTTTTTTAAAATACAGACATCTGGGCTCCTCGAAGACCTTCTGGATCAGAAGCTCACCCCAGAACTTGGAGGAAATGCAGATCCTCAGTCCTACCCCTGACCTACTGAATTAAAGGCTCCAAGGGTGGGACCCAGCAACCTGCGTTTTAACAAGTCCTCTAGGAATAGTGATTCAGGCTGGAGTTTAAGAAGTGATGCTTCAGAAAAAGAATCATGGGTGAAGTTTTCCTATGGGAGTCCAGTGCAGCCTGTTCACAGAGAGGGATTTGAAAAGATCTGGTTCCAGATTACCTTGAAGGCCTTTATGGGGTAACCATGCCCTTTGGGATGGGGCTGGCTTCTCTCTCCTGCCTTGTTTTCTACCACATCTTCTACCATTTGGCATCTTGGGCTCTCGTTCTAGCTGCGCACAACTCTCGGCTCCAGCCCATCCTCTCCTCCACTGCACGTGCTGCTTCATCTGATGATGCATTTAAAGAAAATGCGTGAGTCCACACATGCATAAGCGAGTATTCAGTTCTTTTCTAGGAAAGTGGAGTGCATTGTGGAGACAGCAGAGTAAGGCGGAAAGTGTCCAATTTTAGGAACTATGAAATCTAGACTCAAGAGCCAGTATATTTAGCTATACGATGCTGTATATAGTTGTACACACACATACACACATACAGCTATATAGTGCTATCACTGTGTGCTATATAAAATATATGTACCTTTTATAGCAACATTACAAGATTGTTGTTAGGATAAATAGGATAGAAATATTATTTCTATTACTGTGATGGGAAAATAATTTCAAGCCCAAAGCCCTTTTGACAGACAAATAAAGATTTTATTGTTTACATAGGATTATTCCAATCTCCTTGAAGACTAACCACCCTGTTTTATCATTTTACACAGTTTTTATGGAAACGAGCCCTCAAAGATCGCTTTAAATATGTTCGAAGACCCATAGAAGATGATGAACAAGTGCTGAGAAATAAGTGTAAATTTGGCCACCGAAGAGGCCAGACAAGAAAATCTCTTGCTGATGTAAGATTTGATGAAATGAAAATTGTCCAGATAAAAGTAAGATTGCATCTTTCATTGTTCTGACAACTTAGTGATTGGTTGATTGATTAAGGGATAATAAGTACTAGCATTTAAAAGAATTAAAACAAAATTTGCATTTTTTATCCATTTGAAAATTTGAGGTATGGATCAGAAAACAAAAAAAAAATGTTTTTGCACATGAATGATAGTATTTCCAAAAGAGGACTTCTAAAAACTGATCAGAGAGTGTTTTTGAACATCTCAAGTTTATTCTTTCACAACCTTCAAAAAAACCTGGTGAAACCCTTACGTTCCAGATCTTTGAATGATTTCTTCTCCTCTCATCCTAAAATGCATCCTGTGTTCTTATTGCTCCAAAGTTATCAATACTCATATTGTAGGATCAAGTAGCTGCTGGCCGAAAGTTTTCCAGGAGAGACTAATCACATGCATGGACACAAGACTCCACACTGTTCCTGCTTTGCCCAGAAGGTGTCCAACACCAGCCTAGAGGCAGCTGTCAGGATCCTCAGGCCGAGGGCCCCAGGCGGGACCCCAGATTCCTCCCTCTGCAGTGGGTTTGCTATATATAATGTTCATGTGGGTCCTAATTATCTGAAATTCTATAAATATTGCTTAACTACCTCACAGCCGCCAAATATGCTCAGAAACAAAAATGTCGCCTGCTAATCAAGTAAGTTGAAGTCCCTAGGAAGGATGTCCAAACCAACAAGTATAGTAGCTACATCTCATGTCCCCCCAAATTCTGTTTCTACCTCAATGCAACATGAATACATAAATCTAATTTTCACTACAAACACATTTAACGTTAGAGAATATACTTGTTGTCAATATTCTATCTTCTACTTCAGCTGGTGTAATCATTTGATTGTAATAGAGTGACCTATGCCAGTTCATCTTAGTTTTATTTTTACTGCTTATAAACTCCAGGGGACTGGAGTATTTTTTAACATATTTTGTAAACCATTCATCCCAACATTATACATAAAAAAATTTAAATGAAAGTGTATTTTTAAACATCTTACTATAATTTTCAATGGAATTTTCAAATGACAGGCCAGTTAAGATAATACAATTTTATGTCTACTCTTGATGAAAAGACAAGACAGATGAAAGGTACCTAAATTCAGTGATGTAACTTTATTAAAACTTTGACTGCAATAGTCCAATTATAAACTAAAATCATAAGACGGAATTACATTCATTTAAAAATATCTTTTATATTCTCAAAATAAAAGGCACTTTGTAAAGGAACATAATTACATTATGCATACATATACTCAAAATATGTGATTTTCAATATACTACAAATGGAGTTCCTTTGTAAGTGAATCAAAATTTTACAAATTCAGTCTTCCTTCTTCCTCTATGAGGCATGTCCCACCAACATTCATTGGAATAGACGAATGGTAAAATCAGAAAAGTAGCAATTATCCCCAGCAAGAGTAAGCCCATGGGGTCAGAGGCCACCCCAAGTGACACAACTAAATGACAGTTCCTCTTTTGGGTTGACACATTGTCATTGACCCAGTTTGTACAACCATCTTTCTGTTCTCTCTTGAAACCACCTCAGTTCTTCCTGTAACTACATCCTTTGTGGTTCCTACAAGACATGTCTAAGGTGAATCCTACTAAGACCCACATGGTGGTCTTTGCTACCAAAAAACAGAGCAGGAATGTACCAGGGCCCAAGATGAGCTAAGTTGCAACAGAATGTAGTTTTGATCTTCCTGCCAGTTGGGGCAAAAAGAGATCATAAAATGGTCATTGTTTGCATCTCAAGAGCCAACATTTTTCCTGCCAAGCAAATCTAATTGGTAAGGATTCACTTTTCTCCCTCTTACAAATGGAGCTACAAATTGCTGTAGCATCCCTGTTTATGACCTAGTGTTCTGTTAAGGCAAAAACATGAAAGAATGGAGAAAAATTTAGACTAGAATGTTACAGAAACAATGTGTTTCTATATTTTGTCCTCTCTGTGGTGACTGAGCAAATGGAAAAACACTAAGAAGAGTGGAGAGACAAATCCATTGACTGTATCACTTATCTCATGGACATTTATACTTCAGGCGAGTAGCCTAAATTATTTCCCAGCCTTCATTTTGAACTTCTGATGGCTCCTTTTTAACATCTTTACAATTTCTGAAAATTAAAAATATTTGGATTAAGCTACACTTTGGCAACTTTCACATCTTTTGAAATTACTTGACTGGGCACGATATTTCTGTAATATAGAAAAAAGTTATTTCCTGTGCTGTGGAGATGGAAAATGTGGATGCAGGCAAGAAGCCAGGAGGCAAGCCATTCCCTCAAAGGCAGGGAAGTGGGTTTGCTAAACTGGGGTAAGATTTGGAGAAGGAGTAAGGGAGGGGAAGAGATTTTTCATTTGATTTGTTTCGTTTCTGTTGCTTTTCCCTTTGGTGGTTGGAAGGAATTTCTCAAAGCATTAATGGTAGATGACTTAATGAAGGAAGGTGCATTTCTTTGTCCTGTTACATGGGCTTCTGCAGATAACCAGGCAGCTACAGAATTTGTATGAGTCTGAGTCTAGCCACAGATCTTTTATCCCTAGCCCTCCACCTCCCTCAACCATAGAGTTCAGTGTAGCACTGATTAAACTCTGCTACCAAACCCCAAATTTCAGCAGCATCAAAGCATCCACCCATGAGTCTTAAAAATGCCTAGGTTCCTCATAGCCACTTCTAAAAAGACTTGTAACTGTGGCATGCAGATGGTTATACTTGTCCGAATCCCAGACTATGTTTCCAGAACAATCCTATAAAATACTGGGTTTAAATGCAATGTTTAAAAATCCTTTTTCAGCGTAATGATACCACGTCACTGCTGCTTGTACACTGATGCAGCCAAATGCATCATCGGTGGTATCCCTACCTATGCCTCTGACGTTTGTTTTACATCCAAGCAATGTAGCCCTGTAAGTTGATAAATCTTTCCTTTGCTTAAATGCCCTTTAGTATACTTCTTTATTTATAAGCTGAGATACAATTAGATTCTCAAAACAGTAGATTAACTGAGTAATTTCTTAAGTTGCTGACAGCATTATCAGGTTTAAATGATGAAGGCATTGGTTTTAAAAGCTTACAGGAATTGTATGGAGCCTCGTGGCTGTGTAGTGGAATTAACTTTGTAATGCATTACTCTGTGAAAATCTCAGGTGTTAGAGCTGAGCGAATCAACCTCCTCACCTCATGGCATGTTATTTTCACTGTGTAACTGAGTAGGACCCTGTGGGGCTTTCCTAGGACAAACCCCTCCCCCATATCCCCTGCTGTAGCTCCTCTCTGAAGTCCCCAGGTAATGGTATCTCATGCTTATTTCCTGAGTTTTTCAGGCAAGGAAAACCGCCACCAAATGGAACAAATTAACCACTTGATGACCATGAGCATGTAGCAGCCCCCAGGCCTTCTGGTGCCTAAGATTGATCACCTTCAACCAGTCAGAATTGTGCACAGCTGATCACATACCCTGAGACGCCCCTCCCACAACCGGCCTTTTAAAAGGCTCAGCTGCAACCCTTCCGAGTGTTCTAGGTTCTTTGGGCGTGAGTTTCTCGTTTTCCCTGCTTGGCCTTGCAGTAAACTTTTCTCTGCTCCAAACTCCTAGTTTCTGGCGTTTTTTGGTCTCATCAGGTACACAAATTTGTGTTTGGTAACAGTTTTGGTGAAGCCAGCCCAGGGGTCTGTGCCCATAGCAGGGAGACCCCAGGCGGGGCGGGGCGGGGGTGGGGAACGCAGCCCCTTCCCTGGGTCCCAGCAGCTGCCGGAGCTCACTTCACTCTGGGGAACTGGGAGGGACTGTCCCCGGCAGGCGCCAGCTGCCCCAGCATGAGGCTGTTGGGAGCTGAGACACATCCGGAGCTGCAGTCAACGTGCCATGCCACTTAGCGGTGAGTCGCTGCAGCTTGCACAGGCTGAGAATTCTCTCCTCTCCATCTGGGCTCTTCCACTGGGAAATGAGCCGTGCTGGGCTCATTGTAAGCCACTCTGGGTCTGTTCTCTTTTGAGAGCTGGCATTCTGTTTGGAGGCCTCCGTCTGGAAGTGAAAGTGGAATATTTAGACTGCACCTCCTCTGATTGTCTGTGTGCCTGTAGCCTGTTTGCTGTGTTTTTGTGTGTATTATTTTAGGGTGAGCCACTCTTGCTTGTGCAGGATGGGAAAATTCTACCTGCTCCACCTGGGCTCGTTCCCTTCTGAGAAGTGAGCCATTCTGGGCTCTCTGGGAGCCGCTCTGGGTCGAATCTCTTTCGGGAGCCATGCCACTCTGGAAGCCGCCATCTGGAAGTCAAAGTGGAATGGCTACACCTTATCTGAGGGGACCATGTTTGCTGTTTGTATAGTGTGTGTTGTAGTACTTGCATTGGCTGGCTGAGATGTCTTTGGTGAGTCAGAGGGCTCACATGTGACGACAGCAGAGTATCCTTCCCTATGGCATTGGCTTTGGAGCATTGGTTGGAATGTTCCCTTTCTAGCTTTGGTCATCCATTCAGCTTCATCTCTTAAGGGGCATTGGTTGGGGTACTCCTCTTTTGGGACTAGGCAACTGTGACCCTGAATTGTTGTTTGGTTGATGTTTGATGACATTGGCTATAAATAATTAAGTATGGATGATTCGAGCTCTGTTCCACCTTATAGTCCCCCTAAGGGTATATTTTTGAAAACTGGGAGATCTTCAGCTCTGCTCCCATAAGTGAAAGAAAATTTTTATTGTAATGCTGTGTGGGCCCGGTACACCCTGAGATCTGGCGAAGAGTGGCCCCTAATGGCTCTGCTGTTATATCAGAGTGGGCCTTTTGCAACTGCTTAGGCTTTTGTTTTGGGGGGCAGTGTGTATCTCAGTACCTGAGTTCAATTCCCGTTCTATCTTCTGGTTTTACTGAAAATGAGGCATTGAATGTGAGCAAATAATTTTATAGACATGTACGTATGTATATAAAATTATCCATTACTCTTACTGTTATATGTGTTATTGTCTAGTACTGTTCTTTCTTTTAAAT